TTGTACGGTTCCTATACTGGGGCTAAATAAGTCAGCAACCACGACTTGGATTAGTAAGTACGGTTAAGAAAGTTAACGGGTGGATGAGGTTATGCAAGAATAAAAGGCTTGACTGGACTTTCAATTCCTTTTGGAATCAGGAAATTAGTAATCGTTTGGAAACATATGAGCATTAATGCCTGGGGTGGCCATATTGGTTAAGTGGGAGTGGTTACGGCCGGATTCCTCTGTACTTTCACCTTAGATCTGTATTTGTTATACAAATCTACGATGGTAACAAGCGGGTTCCATGGGAATCTCAAGCATCGGTCAAAGGATTTTACAGTGTACTAGGCACTATGAAGTGTTAATATTGTGAATTACACTATTCAAAGGCGCGTTTATCTTTCAGAGATTTGGCGGATGAAAAAGTCCTCCCACAAGATGGAACGTCAATATCCTTGAGCCTGTTGTCGCATATAGCTGTGAGGTTGCCGTTATATCAATGAAGTGGCCCAATATTAATAACACTCCCCCTAGCTGGATTGTGATTTAGAGCAAATTTCAACAGAGTCGAAGGCATTCTGGGATTGCCTTGATTTCCTTTTGGTTCACATTTTGATTGGTCTAGAATATTCGTGCCAACCTTTCAACCAAACACATGTTGATCTTGTTTTTCAATAATTTACGCAATTTCATTAAAAATCCGCATTATTTTCCTTCCACCTACACAAACCGAAATTCTCCTTTGTTCTGAAAAGTAGCCCACGAACAACGGCCGTCATTAATTGCGCTGCAAAACGTTTCCGCGCCCGGTGACAGGTTTCCCAGGGGGTCTGCACTAATTATCGGCGCCAGACTTCTAGCGGACCTTTCGCCGAATGTCGTTGCACAAGGCCTTATACCTTCCTACAGGCGAGGAAATGCTCCTGCCAAAGCGCTGATCTAGTGAGGACCTGCTGGCAAGCTATCTGATAAGCCGTAGTGATAGCTTTTTGGTTTTACAACGCTCAATCCATGATCTGGGCTAGATTTTCATCGCTCTCTCGAGTCTGCTTATCAGAGTACAACCATGAAAAGGTGCTCTATTCGTTGGATACAGCGTTATCATGCGCAAAAACCCCTGCCTGGGGTCGGGTTCGCGGGACAATATTTATATCAAAACATATAGAAGAAAAATTTACGCTTTATAACGCTTTTTAGAATTCCACTGGAAGTTCAAAATACGAGCCGAAGGTGGGTGATTTGCAAACCCTTTCCCAGTTCAACGTCTTGGTTGGTATCGCTTCCTTGAGGTCGTTCTCCTGTAAAAAGATCTGTTCTTTTATTCACTGAGTTTTTAGTGTATTTTTTTTTCAAGGATTTTTATGAATAAAGCTGTCCTCCCAAGAAAGCTGTAAGTTTTTGTTCAGTCGATTTGCCGACAAAGCGCTCGAGAGTCAGCTTGTCTTCTTATTCTTAGCTTAAGTAGGCAGAGCATAACCTTCAGATTATGTGTTTGTGAAGAAGGAAAGCCCTGAAAGTTTTCGAAACGATCGGAGCGAAAGTTGTCCACATTTTGAATCATAATTACCTCGCATCATTGCTGATTGTACATGACAAAAGCAGCTTGTGATTGTTGGTTTTTTTCAAGGACGCGCTCTTGTTCATTACTATGTAGGGAACGAATTGACGCCTATATGAATTTATCAAACTAGAAGAACGCAATGCCCAAGCTCGCAGCCTGACCTGGCTCCTTTAATGTAAATTTGTTCACGATACTTAGGCTATGACAGATCCCCTTTGTGACGGGCTGTTGACATTTTTTCGAAATTTTGAAAGGATAAGCTAAGAGGTTACATCAATGGCATTTTTATTGAAACACTACTTCCGTGGGTATACTTCCATAGCGTCGATCTTAAAAGTTTTTCAGTTGCAAACATTTAACCAGTGAGATATGTAACGGTCAACCAAATCAACACACTGCTAACCGAGCGTGTCAATCCGTCAAAGCAGATTAAATATTCCAATCAATTAAAATTCAAAACCACGAGCATAACTGACTTTCCAAAAGACAAAATAATAATAATAATAATAAAAAAAATACTTTTATGGCAAACATGACATACCTCTATCAAGAGAGAAATTTTGTTTAAATTAAATATTGTTATTTCAAGACAAGGTACGAGTATTAAAATTGAATGTGAATTCCTGAGTCTCAAATATGCGTGACAAAGACACAAAAACACGCTCAAACAAAAAAAAAAACATAAAGACTAAACAGTCCAGTTTCACTAACCGTAATATATTTGATTAAACAAACACACAGTTCAGCATAACAATCCAACAATGGACTGAGTCGCTATAAATTTGGGCGCGTTTCGACTTGGTTAGCTAAACCGCCAAGACTAGGCGTACACGCAACTACTCCGAAGAGAAAAATATCAGTGGAAATTTTGGTAAGTGCGGGGGCATCTTGTCAACATTTAAACTTTCGTGGACCTCATTTACTGGTTGCTATTTAGATTATGCGAAGACAGTTTTCCAAGATTTAGCTGCATGTTTAAAAAAGAAAAAAAAATATATGATTTCGTAAATTGTTAAGAAAATATCCCTGGTTCAGCTGTCGCACCTTGTTCAAATCTCTTTGTAATACCCCCCTGTAATGCATTGCCTCATGTCTAATCATTTGTGTCAATTTGGCGTTTGCATTTTTTTATCGTTGGGATGCTCGGTATTGAAGGTGACCATTTTGGGGTTATCATGTTTGAGAAGAGTAACGCTTAAGTATTTTAGGTCTTAGTTTTTCCTGATGAAAAGCAGATTACATTCATCACCCCCTCTGCGACCTTAGCCATAGAAAATCTATCTTTACGCCTCTTGGTTTTATTCTATTCCATAATTTATAACATAGATAAAATTTAAATTTGTAGTTAGGCAGTTGAAATTTTAAATCTGTATTCATTTTGTGATTTAACGGTTTTAAATCTTAATTGATATATTGGACCCTAGTGCGACTATTGTGGGGCGACTATTGTGCGGCGACTAGAGACGCTAATTGAACTAAACATCAGTAAAATATAATGGCCACGGTCACGAAAAATTTCCGTTAACATTTTGCGCGCATAAAATTATGCTCAAATTTCAAACAAAAGCATTTTAATCGAAGGTTAGCCAGGTTGGGCTAAATGCAATAAAAAAGTCTAAAAGGACGATCACCAAACAGCATGCTTACATTTGGGACAGAAAGGTTGCCAAAGATAGAAATTTAATCGCACTTTAAAGTTCATACAGTTCCTATTAATTGTCAGTAAAGTAACACGAGTGTTGTTGACATTCTTCATCCAACTTAAAACGCTCCCGTGCGCAAGGTTCATTCGTTACAGCTTTGAGTGATCTAGATGGGAAAGTTTCAATTTCCTGTTATCAATTACGTTATAAAACCATTTGAGTCAAACGAAAATTATAAACAAACGATGGTAATAAAAATAATTAAAATATTTTGATGCATTCTAGCGCAGTAGAGAAAGTTGTTTCGGTGTTCGGGCACTATACCGTTTCTGTGAAATCTCTGATCGAGATATTCGAAAACTAAGGAAGGTTTATCTATCTAACCACCCTCTTTCACTTCACAAGTTGACTCAAACAGTCCTGTGACTGTATGAAAGTTGAAAAAGACTCCAAAAGCGAGTGACTACTGTTGTGCTTAGTTTTCTCCTTTAATTTTTCTTGTTTAAACTTTCCTTACCTTGCACTCATAGTCTTAAGGCAAGGAAAAATCCCATCGGGTTGAAAATATTGAACCAAGAAAAATCTGACCTCAACACGTTAGTGCAGCCCCTAATCAAAGAAATCTTTAGTCTGATGGAACTCAAGTTGTAGCTTGTAATATCTGCGTTTCCACAAATTCGCTGGAGGAGACAGTTTGAATTTTGCAGTTTAGAACAGAATGTACAATGGCCACCGTAATCAAACGATTTTTTAGCTCAATGAAAGCAAACCGCGCTTAAGAGAAACCGATGTAACGGGCTCGTAACATGAGACGCATCTTAATCATCTCGTCCCTAAATAACTTTTTCGGTTTAAAGTTCCAATCTATTTTCCAGTGGGATAGCAACGGATTTCTTTTAATCAACCAATTTACAGCACTGCGCAAGTCAATCAAACCTGTTCATGATGACATCACTATTGTGTATCTTCGTGTTTTCTGTGACCTTACAAGTCAGCAGTGGTGGTCGTATGGGACCCAAGACTCCTCAGCCTGGTGATTTCAGACAGTGCCGTCTGAGCGACAAGCTGAAAGAGCAATTCGTTGATTTTCACAATGAGTTCCGAAGTCAGGTAAAGCCAAGCGCAGCAGACATGGAGTACTTGGTGAGTTGAACAGTCGTACTAGAGAAAGTTTTAACGTTTTCTTTGAAGCCATCTGTTGCCTTGCAACATTACATTTTCTATTGGCCGTCGCAGTTGAGGTTTTGGCTGTTACAGCGTTCGACCGAGAGGCGTTCTATGCTACGAAACAATTTCACTGAATTCTTCATCTTGTATCGATTTAGGTGTGGAACGATGACCTTGGTAACCTGGCTCAAATGTGGTCGGATAAATGCGAGTGGATGCATGGCTTTACAAGGTTTGGGGCGTGGCATCCGAACCAAAATTTTCGAAGCAAGTCTGTAGGTAATTGAGGAAAAAATAAAACGATCACTCCTAGAAAACTACATATTTAAATTGCAATTTGGGTTAACCGCTTACCGCATGGGGATTGTCCCAGTCCATCTCATGCAATTTCAGTTTTTTCCAAGGATTATAGGATAAACTGACAAGATTATTTTAGACCTTGAAATATTCATAGAAGAGCTAAAAAAGAGGCATATACAGAAAAAGATAGACTTTTCATCGGACTTAGTAAGGGCCGTTAACTTAAAAAAAGTCGGCCATATTTTAAATAGGGGTATTTCATTGCGATTTTTATCGTGCTAAACTTAGTGTTCCTTGCTCGATAAAAAGTGATCTCGAGCAATTGGCAAAAATAGCAACTAACATAGTTATTTGAAAAAAGTAGTTCATTCCATTGAAAATCGTTTTTTAAATTTCCTTTCTTCTTTAATGACAATCATCAGGTCAAAATTTGGCCCGTGAGTGGGGCAAGTGGATTGAAAGTAAAGATGCTGGCCCGGAGGATTCAGTGCGCCGATGGTTTATTGAAAAAAATTACTACAGGTTTTCAAAGTTTGCTTATCCGATGCCTTCTTGGATGTGCCGTAAAAAACCATGTGGGCATTATACACAGGTTAGCTTTTCCCTCCCGAACATCAAGCTTACTACCCAACTAACTCGTGAGTAGCTTTGCAGGGCATATACTTCTGGATATACCATTCTGCAGGCAATATTCTCTTCTTATGCAGAAGTTGAAGGAATAAGGCTCTAAGACCACAGGATAACCAAGGATTTTCATGACTTTTTTTTAACAAGCACAATGATGTGTAACGATCCTGGGGGATAAAACTAGGTGCTAGGTTATGGTTTGCAAATCTCGCACATTTCTAGACCACATCCTCAACCATCATCTTTTCTTTTTGTTTCACAATAAACTCCAAACACGTTTAAAAATTATGGGACACTATTATAATTGTATCGCAGAGCTGCGTCGAAATAACCTTGCTCCTTTAGAGTTGAATACAAAACTTCGCCCTAGATAACATGAAAAAGCCTTTGTTGTCGACTTAAAAACTCTGAGTGTTATGAAGAAAGAACACCACTTTGGTCTCTTTGTCTCAAAGGTTGTGTGGGCAAAGAGCAAACAGGTTGGATGTGCCTTTAAATGGTGTGACAAGCATTTTGGTCAGCCCCACCCTTGGGTTCCTGGAGAGACAGTTGTAACTTGTGATTACTATCCAAGGTAAGTGCTGGATATTCTTTTTCGTGACGACACAGTTACAAGCAGAACACACAGTTGTAACCAGATGACGACAGCGGACGACATATATTACAAGCAGATGATAAAGATATCGTCACTGACGAGTACTTCATTTGATTTACTTTCTGGAAGTCGATAGTTTTGAATCAATCCTCAATACTTTTAATTCTTGGAAAGCTGGGCGATGCGCGCGTTACAAACTGCATTAAAATACACTGCAGGCAATAAACGGTGTGACCAATCGATATATTGATTGAATTTCTTATGCAAGAAAATTAACCATGAACAGGAACAAGCAAAAACCCTAGTCTTCTCCGCGTCTGCAAAACTATTCGTGATACCAGTTACTAGGACCAATGTGGACTTCTGCACATCAGTCGAAGTCACTAGCACACCAGTCAGTTTTAAAGAAAAGGGGTTTGTCGTTAGTAACGAAGAGTTCGGAAATCGAAATTTCGATTGCGCTTGATTGAATACAACTTTGATGTCCTCGTTTAGATGGAATCAGTCATGAGTTTGCCCTTCGTAGAGAAAACCCACTTACAATGATTATTTAACAGATGTTTTTAAAAAAATTTTTTCAGCGGTAACGTGGTAGGACAGCAACCCTACACGCCCGGAGTTCCATGTACAAAGTGCGCCAGTGGTCAGGGTTGGTGCTACAAGAACCTTTGCAGTGAGTATAAGAGAGAAAGTCTGTAGGGAACAAATGGCTTCAAACAACACATGGATGTACAGCCATGCCTGTGTTTTTTTTTTTTTACAGGAGAATGCAAGAATTTTTAGCCCAAAATGTGGAACGACCTACTCGAAAGGCATGTGCCTCACAAACAGAGACTTGATGGAAAAACATTGCCCTAAGCTGTGCAACCTTTGCAGTGAGTATAGTTTGAATTAAAACATAGGATGAATCCATTCAGCGCCTCTGTTTTTCCGATAACATGGAAAGAGGTGGATGGGAATCGAAAAGGAGGTATGGAGCGTAAAGTAATCTTGGGAAGGCTCAGTGACAGAGATTCAGATGATGCTGTTTCGCGAATCCTTTAAAAATTACTTTCATTTTCTCGCTGTTCAAAACCAGATGTTACTCAGCTTAAGAGAGGTTGTTCGAAATATTCTACGGTCGGTTATTGATCTGTCCTCTAGATTACTGCAGAAAATCATTTTTCCAAACTTCTTACTTCCAAAAACTAACTTCTAACCTTTTGATCTGCTCTTGCAAAGCATAAAACCATCAAATGTGATTTTTGTGCTGATCAGCATATTTCCCGACCGATCTCTGTTGGAATTTTTCAGGATGTCCTTTGCAGTGCAAAAATGGAGGACAGGTTGACCGTAACACTTGCACTTGTACGTGCTATGGCAAATGGAAAGGCTCCGATTGCTCTGGTAATTTAAAATATAATAATAATAATAATAATAATAATAATAATAATAATATTAATAATTTAATATTTAAATTGCGCAAATTAACATGTGAATATGATCAAATGCGCATCACAACACTTTACGTTAGACGGCCAGACTGCATCAGCAGTTTACAAACAATCGAAGGAAACTTATTTGAAGATGCCCCCTCCTCCCAACTCCCATGTAGTAAACAGGCCAGACCACATCACAGTAATCTCGTGGGTGGGTTCTTTAACGTCCCCTACCTCACCAAATTAACTAATTAATAGATGCAGTTTATCAGTCACCTCATTTACCGTACTTTACATTTTAAGGCGAGACAAACTCAAGCTTGAAAAAGAAAACTCTCAGAGCTTTAAGAAAGTCACTTTACTTCTTACAGCGCAACTTTCCATGCGATTGGAGAGCGTGTGGAGGATAGCTCGCGTCTATTGATCGTTGATGGTACAAAGAAAAAGGCAGAAAATGGCGATTGACGTTGATTCATCGAAAAAAGTAAACTCATCATATGCATGGAAAATTTCTGGTGCGATGCCCCATTACAAAAGGCGCAATCAACTAACGAAAGTCGAGGATTTGGGATCCAGGCTCACTAAGATGCCTCAGGAAAATACAACTTACGGTTTCTCGTTCATTTTTCTTTCCTGCACGTAGCTTGTCATGCACCGTTCAAACTTCATTCCTTCATTTCAAGTGGTTCTTTAGTTTTGTAACTTTTACGTTTTAGCAAGTCTCAAAATAGACTATGGTGGATAAAGGGAGTTAAAAAGGCAGAAAAACGCCGCTTTTGATATGAAAGACTAACACTCGCACTTATTTTCTCCAGAGAGGATCTGCGATGAAGGGTGGTACGGAGAGAAATGTGAAAGTATTATTACTTTAACCCAGAAGTACAAATTACAATGCACAATGATTCACAAAACACCTTTTCGCCTTTTGAGCGAGTCGATTCACTTTAACACTCCATGCAAGAAACGTTCATGCAAGAACTTCATGTTTTAACTTAGTGTATGTCGCTAAAACAATAATTTACGGTGATTGCAACTGAGATCTCTTAAAAAGAAACGCCAATATATGTACAGTCGGGGATAAAACACCTGAAAGAAGATCCGTTAATATAGTAAATGATGCACACTGAGCCCTGCATGCTAGGACCAGGACGGACCCAGGAAGTAACTTGTTCGTGCACTATTTGAACCAGTCCAAATTCAACTTGTTTCATGAGTCATGTTTCGAGGTATTAATGCGGGTTAGTACAACTGCGAGCCAAAACTACTTGGTAAATTTGAAAGTATTTTCTAATGGCACTGTAAAGTAAAACGTTGCCTGCTTTGTACTTTTTGTCAACTACCACTGCTGCAAATGTTTAAGTCTAGAGGTGCAAATTAAGGAGATAACGGGAGCTTCATCGTCAATCGTCAAAGCAGGTACACATCAGCGATCAAACCCCTTTGAAATTCGTGTTTCTTGTAAGCCAATTTAAAGAATCAGCAGTATAGTGAGTAAGTAATGATTTAAAACGGTGAAGAGAAATGTTGAATTCTGTAAAAATATATTTACTCCTTACAGAGCGGTGCTTCGACAAAGTGGGAACATCCACATGCCAGTGGCGAGTCAAAAACGGCCATCCATGTTCAGTAACGTATATGAAGCTCGACTGCGTCAAGACTTGTGTTTGTGGTACATTAACACTTCGAATCCTATAAGCAATACTAGTTTTTCAACATCTCTATCTACCACTCTCACTGTTTCGCGTTTTTAGAAACCTGCAGGGCACACGAGCTAAATCTAGAATGGTTTGAACTCATAGAAGTGCAATGTAAATCTCTCCTTCTAGTCTAAGACTATTTAAAATTTTTTTTTTTAAAAATCTGATCGTTTTTCACACAAGTAAGTTATATTTAAAGTACTAATATCTTTGTTACATCTATAGGTCAGTTATTTAATCTAGACTGTTTTTTTCCTTCTATTTTCAGATCTCATGCCAAAACCAAAACCAAACCCACCACCGAAACCACCGACAAAAGTCCCACTGACCGTCAGACCAACCCAACCCAACCCGGGATCCGGCGAAGGTATAAATGAATCGATTGAAAAAAGAAAAAGGTTATTTCATGAGAGTTGTGAATCGCGAGACTCTCAATCTGAAAAACTGAAATATTATGTTCTCGATTACTAAGCGAGTTACTCGATGTATCCCTCAGACTGTGAAGATAGACACTCGGCCCCTAACCAGTGCGAGTTTTGGGCGATACTCGGAGAATGCCAGAAGAATAAAGACTGGATGAGACAGAAATGTATGAAGAGCTGCGGAGCTTGCAGTAAGAGTCAATTATATTACTCGATGAGTTCATATCTCAAATTTCAAGTACACTGCACCGCCATTACCTGAATTAATCAGATATTAAAATACATGCGAGATCATAACGTTGTTTGATTTGAGAATAACTATCAAATATATATATATATATAATTTGAAAAAAGTCTTTAAAAACTGATCGAAAACAAGAAAGTCAAGCAGACACCAGAGAAAATACTCGGGCTGCTCATAATGATCTAGGGTCATTCTTGAGTACTGTTCTGCACACTCATACTACGCAGAATTTCACGTGAGATAAGTGCTATCACATCAGTTGGCGCCGACACTTCTCTTCATGGCCGGATGCCGGCGCCAAAACCGCCATTTTTCCGCACATGAAAAATGTGATCTATCAATTTTGTGTTATGTAGTATTTCTTTCTGTAAGATACATCAGGGCTAACTGTAGGGTAAAATAAGGAACAGTCATGCATGAAGTAGAAAAGAACGTAGCAAAACAGAATCTCTTATGGAGGACTAAAAAAGTATAGTTACTTTAGCCAGTTTCAGAAAAAAAAAATTGGAGATCTAAGAAAAAGGTCGTTATCACAATAACAACCACGCAAATTAAGTGGCGAACTACGGGGAATAGAAGTTATATATCACATGTTTACTGATTGTATATAGCCTTAATTACTGCTCATAGATTGCCAGGATGCGTACAACACCGCTAAGTGTAAACAGTGGGCTGACAGAGGGGAGTGCAAGAAAAACCCCAAATGGATGGAGCCCAATTGTGCAAGGAGCTGCCTTGCTTGTGGTAGGTGAAATAATATATAGATTTAGCCAGCCTAAAAGCGGAGCTCCCAAGTTCGTAATATTAATGATAACATAAAAGATGTGGATTTGCCAAGACTCGCCTGAGTCACCCCTCCCTTAGGCACGTACGTACGTACGCTCGGTCAGTCACGTGACAACCAAACGAAAAGAGGTTGACCATATTCTATGGGTATGGGGCTATGCCCCACGCGCGCGCGTGGGAGCCCCGCTAAATAAGTGGAAATTGTGGTTTTTCAGTACCGGGTCCTTTCTTTGTTGTTGTTCGATTAGGGTTAAAGTGTGAAGGGAATAGTTTCTTTTTCACACTGTGCCGGAGATTTTACAAGATAATTTTATTGATTTTATCAACTGAGTTGATAATGTAAAGAGTATTTGAAGCTGAAGTTTCGAACCCCTCGTCAGAGCGAAGTATATACCAGCAGACGACTTAGGATTAGCGGAAAACAAAGAAATCACCGTGAATTACTTTCGTCGCCGCCAACTCAGTCGATAATCTGACCACCTGTCGAACTGAAGTTGACAAAGGCTTATGAAAGTTTTTTTTAAAGTAGCTTTATTTCGATGGTTGTGTGGTGCGCTTTGATCCACCGTGCACGTATAAACCACATCTAGTCAGGCAAATGTTGAATTTCTCTGAATAGAGACTTTGTTGGCTTTGAAACATATCTAAGAGTTGGCGCGCTTGGGTATCATAAATAAGACGTTAAAACAGTTCAGAAGACAATTGACAATAGAATTGCTCAAAAGATCGTTTCCCTGTCACCTCACATTTTTGGTGGGGTAGCCACCTACAATCGTCAGGCAGCTGTACATCGATGTCTCAGTAAGCGCAATAACAACTTTGCATTGCTGCTTAAGTTTATTTTAGTTTCTGTGGCGTTAAGCGACTAGGTGCATCAATCCTCCTTTTGGGAGGAATGCTGGTCCACCGAAGGTCTACCGATACCTTGCTCCACCTCCAATAAGAATTTATTCAGATTTCCCTCCCATTACCCTGGTTATAAATATACATTTGTACTTCTTAGTGGAGAGGGGCACGGCGCGTGTTCTACCCAAGCGCACGCCTGACGCACTACGCAGTCCACGGAATTGCGGCACCATAATATAATTATCAGGCGCTCTACCAATGTCATGTGTAAATAAACATTGCATTTCTTGTTTTATCAACAGACTGTTCTGACAAACACTCGAAATGTAAGGAGTGGGCAGGTCTAGGAGAATGTGCAAAGAATTACGCAACATGGATGGAGGAAAATTGCAAAAAGAGTTGTAATAAATGCAATGTCAAGGGTTGATTAGATCTAATCTGTTCATTCCTGAAACTCTTTTAGCTTAGGGCGAGATTCTTTTCTGTCTAGACATGCAGTTAAACCACTCGCCAGGCTTAGTTCAGAGCGAATTTCACCATGCATGAATATTTTGTAGCTGAATGGATGTCTGAGGCGTTGATTACACCAGTTTACTTTGACATTCCGAAAACTGCATAGGGACAGTTTTCAATTGAATTTCGGCAGACCAAATCCAAAGTAATCACAACGGCCGATCAGTAAAAACGTTAACATCGTCATTAGCCATTAAGTACTCAACGTAAAAAGAAAGGATTAGAGATTGAGGCACGGGAAAACCAGAGTAACCGTCGCGATTAGTTTTGGTTTTGAATCCGACTGGTCGAGAGAGTGGTGCGAATTTTCTTGAAGAATGACAAAGCGAAATTAGGAAAAAACAAAGCGATAGCGGATTACGTTCGATACTCAATTGAAAAAAAAGAAAAAAAAAAACTCTATTAATGGGAGGTATCTTTAACAACTGATAGGAAATACCTTGGACTGAATAACGCCCGCATGGTGGGTTCAGTCTGTGCTTGATCATCTTTTGTACCCCGAAATTATCATTACTTCTTTGTTTCAAGGACGTCATACCACACTACACAGTCTTGTTTAGAGTTCTTAAATAAGGAGAATAAACACAATTACACAACCTGGCCCAGTTTGAAAATGCTTGGAGCCATGAGATTCTGCCCTTTCCTTCTCTTACCGACAGGGAATACTTGTTAACCCTTTGACGGAAGAAGTGGTTACTATGTAACTTCTCCCTATAATATCCATATACTATCCAGGAAACAGGTTAAGAGAATAATCAAACCCATCAGGTACAAGTCCTTATCTTGATCTAACACCAGATTTTCATAACCGATTTAGAGGGAGATGTAAAGCAGGCACACTACACAGGGGAGAATTGACAATCAGATGTCGAGAGTTTAAAGTTGACGACTGAACATAAGAAGAGGGTTAACTCGATCGAGTCGCGTGGAATTTCATCAGATAGCAAATCGTCATAATATATGTGAAATCAGTTGAAAAAACAAGTTGCCTTAAGGGAGCTTCTACTATGTGTGAATCTCGCGAGATGTCATTGCTGGCATATGAGAGCAACAAAGGTTGTTCCGTCATTATCAAAAAGATACCACATAGTTAATGACCCAAGATGGCATGTGGCACCCCACGCATGACCTGCTTTCTCTCAGATACTCTTTTCAGTTCAAGAAGCAAAATTCCTTCCATGTAAATCTGCCTTTCGACGTGGGAGCACAGAGTTAATTAGGAATGCATAGCACAGCTGGTTACTTTTATGACATCACAAATTTGAAGAGGGACTGTTTAAGCGTGAACAAGGTAAAACTTTAGGGCAGTCCTCAGATTACTAGTCAGGTGTTGAGTTACTAGCACGCCAAATATCCGTGAACAGTTTCATTTAACTCTCTCTCTCTCTCTCTCTCTCTATGGTGAAACCAGAACAAAGAATATAAATGCAAGGTAAGTACGTGTCTGTCTGTGATGCCAATGGCAAAATTTGAGTAAACCCAACGAGCGAGGAAGAACGCTTAATTTATAAAAGTACGTTCCTTGAAGTGGTGCGTGATGAGAAATTTTTTCGGAGGAGGAGCGCGTGGCTGAGGGAAATAATGAAACATAACGTTTAATTTACGTTTCTGAGCATCGCGTTCGATTAAAGATTAAACCGTTTTTCACAAAGAAGCATTTTGCAGTTTCGAACTTAGTTCGATACCTAAGATTGGAATGTTGGGATTTCCCTTTGGATTTCTTTCCGCAAGTTTAAATTTCTTGGATAATTATCCATCTATTTAGATCTACAGTTGAGGTTGCGCTTCATTTTGCTGAGATATCGGAGATCGCTATTTCATGAAACCGCAGAAAGTAACGCAGGTGTGCAGCATTTAATGAAATTTTAGGGAAAAAAGGCTACCATAGACTAGTTGGGCGCTACTGTGCACTGAGTTCATGATAGTAACGCTCACCTAGTTCATGTCTGAGTGAAAGGCGGGATAATCGAATGGTCAGAAAGAAGTCACAATTTCTTAGTTGAACAAACCTCGCGTCCAAAGCTTCTCCTGTAAACGATCGCTATTCCAAATAATTGATTTTCCTCTCAAGATTTTCCTTTTCGAACCTCTTTGGGCGACTTTTGTCCAATGGACCACGACGTTCTCCACCACGGTTTCACTTTCCACATTAGAATGGGTCACATCAACGCTACTAAAGCGGATTTGTTTTTAAACCGAAAGTTTTTCGAGAATGGTCCTGTACTTAATATTCGCCGTGAATTGGCGCTCTGAGACAGACCATCAAGATTTATCTCACACAAATGTATTTAGAAATTTGTACAGCATCTAGGAGAAACACCTTTTTTCAGTTTGTTGTTTCACTCAAGCAGGACTTCAAACTTACACAGAATTTAAGCGTCTGTGGTTTGACCCTTATTAAACAAAAGAATGATCGACAAGAACACAAAACTTGGTGGCGTCATTCCTTTTCATTGTTCAAAGGACGACCAAGAAAATTTCGTTTCTGAACGCAACTCTAACTATGACTTCTTTGATACTCTCGACCACATGCCGCTGCATGAGTTTTAAAAGCTTTGAAGGTTCGAATAGGCCATAGATAAATTGATTATAGAGAGGGCGAGGGAGACTGTACGTCTAGACAAGTGTTGGCAACACTGAAAATTTAAACAACGTAGATAATACCCTTTTAGTTGCACCCAAAAAGAACCCGATCATTGACTCATTTTAAGCTACAAGAGTATCAAGTCTATAAGTTGCGCTGATAGAGAAAACTTTTATCTCGATTTCTTTCATGGTACCTCACTGAATTGTTCACTATTGACTGTCTGCGTTTGGATTATTTCATGCATCGCGTTACCTTACTTTTGAAATGAACAAGTCATTCAAAAGCGAAATCAATTGCTTCTTACTCACTGACGTTTTGTTGTGATGATCCCCGAGTTCTTCATTTTCGTTCGAAGTGCTGTTAAGTAAACCGTGATTGGCTTTTGTAGTCCTCTATTTCACCCCATGATACAACGCTGAAAACCACTGGAGGAAGTTGCTTCACTGGTTTTGAAAATTTTACTTATCTGTATTAAGTACACTCGTAACAACTGTCGCGAATTCGCAAAACCCCACTAATTAAAAGAATCGACTTTGGTTGAAACTGTCTGCCTGATGACTGATGTAGCATCAGTATTGACCTCAGTGAAGAAAAAAGAAAGAAAAAAAA